TCTTGTTAGAACACGTCATTATTAGCGTTCCAACAGACGACGAGCGCTTTCACTTACAGATAATTGGCGACAATCGATCAAAATAAAAAACCGTACTCTTATTAAATTTAACCAGACAAATACTTTTACGTATTTTTTTTTTATATCAATTAATAAGAAATTTAATTTAATGAATTAGGTAGAGTTAATCTAGTATAGATGACCACAAAGGAGATGTGGCCATGACTTTTAATATAGCTAGTAATAAAGAGATAGTGTCACCATACATAAAACATAAAATCTAATAGATTTAATAGTGATAGAACTCAGATATATCTGAAGGTAAGTTATTAGAAATTATTTTTTAAAGAAAAGCTTCGTCTATGTGGAAAATTGTCCTATTTTTATAGGAGAGATACTATTTATGACGATTATTTAGTTTTTAATGATGCATTTTACCTTACAAAATATGATCAGTTGCTACAGATGACTAACAAATACGACAGAAAAAGTCTTAACAGGGAGAAATAGTTACAAGAACACTTGCAAGATGCAATGATTGCAATTAAAACTTAAATTTGTTCCATCAGACAGGTATCAAAAGAGTACAGGATTTCACGAAAAGCGTTAGAAAGACGATTCAAACAAAAGCAACACCATTAATGGTAGAATGGGGCCAGATTCATTCTTTGGAGATGAACGTGAAGAAATAATTTTATAGTTAATTAAGAAGATGCAAGGACGCGGTTTTTCTCTCGGTCGTGATGATATTCGTCACAAAATCAACTTAAAATCAAACATAAGTTCAACAATGACACCGAACAAACGGGATATGTTTAGTTGCAACTATTTTTGTCAAGGCATCCAGACATTTCAGAAATTTATAATTACTTTTATTTATTAAAATTGATCCTCGAGGAAAATAACCTTTTTGGGTCTCCTGGAAGTATTTTTAATATAGACGAACCCGGATTGCAGCCTTATACTCGTCCAGATAATGTTCTTGCTGAAAAGAGATCTTAAGGTGTATGTAGTACTTCATCGTCGAAAATGGAAACAATTTCTGTTTCAGCATGTTGTAATTCCGAATGAATCTTTCTTCCGTCCTCGTATATAATCAAAGGGAAAAATCAAAAACGAGTGGAAAGATGATGTGCTTCTAGGCGCCATATTATTCATGAATCAGGAATCTGCCTGTTTTAATTCGGAGAAATGCAAAAAAAGATGAAAATGTAGAGAATAAATACGGACAGGATGTGGACATTGATTAAGATAAAAAAACATAAATTTGAGCGAAGATGTAAACCAAAAAGCTGTACCTATTAATGATGATCAGATCATTCAAGCAAGTTCTTCTAAAACCCTTTCAGCGCTAGGACAAGTGTAGAGAAGTAGTGCTGACCTAGAATAACCTAAAAAAAGTTGTGAAAGTTGGGGGTGACGGGGTGAAGGCGCAGACATGGATGTTCTTTTTTAAATTTAGTATAAGAGTAAATTGATAACCTTATGTAAAGCACATGAAAAGTGGGTAGGTTTGGACTGGTAGGCTTATCAGCACCTGCCAGTGTATAACTTATCCACACATCAAATCAACACAGCTGAGACATGATGAAATGAAAAAACACACTCCCCACTAATTACAAAGTATCAAAGCCCAGCTGGCTTTTCTGACCAATAGGAACGAAAAAACTTTGGGATACTTTGTAATTAGTATCGAGGAACGCTTGGGTAAAAAATACACTTTAACTCTCCCCACTGTCAGACAAATTGACTTCTAGAAGCAAGTGATGTGGTGCCTAAAGATTATCGAGGAAAGTAACCCTCAGGTTCGGGCTTATCCAAACCCTTAGGCGTTCAATATAGGGACATACACTGCACAACCCCTTAACTCAGCATGTGGGCTATACCCAGTTGCCACATCAAGTCTGACACCAATTGACAGGGCAGGGATCGAAGCTGGACTCCTGGGTTCTCTCTGCCACCCAAGCACCAGTATAGGAATTCCGGTTGCCATTCCGCTGGACGATATCCGTTTTGCCGTATACGCCTAAAGGGTCAGACTACACCCCCGATATGGCTGCTTTGTGCTATATGCTTCACATTGTAACCCTCCTAGTGGGTCGTTACCCTCTATTCTGTGCCTCCAACTGATGCACACCACTGCTAAGTGCTTACTTCGCTTTTGGATATGGGTAGGGAGAGCGGCCACCCAGAGGTCTGTTGACCTTTCGGTGCCTGTCGAGGTTACAATGCGATGAGATGACTGCACAGGGAAAGCCTCCCTTTCGACGGACAAGCTATATTGTGGATGCCTCCCCCCGTCAGCTTACCGTGCCTGTGCTACGCTTAAATCGCGTTGGAATGCCAGCTGTCGCGTACTTTCCTCTCGGAGTTTGCGCAGCTCGCTACGGCACACCAGACGGGTACTTCCGGAACTTCACCCGTATCCGTAGGCTACTTCCTACATTCATTTTGTTTGCAGATGCCCAAGGCCTCTTTAACATGGCTATAACGTGCGTGTGGGTACTGAGCCCCCTTCCCTCCACGACAAGATGGCAAACCTGAAGCTTTTGGACCTCTTCTACCCCCTCCACCCTTCCACTCCTCTTCGAGTAACAATTATCAATCAATATGTTTCAATAAAACTACTTATTTATTCGTTTGTTTGCATAATTTCTGTAAAGACGTTATGATAGAATTAATTTACTTTCGCAGACGAATGTTGCGATGTTGTATCTACCGATGTACATATGCATTTAGTGTGGTGTGGCTCAAAGTTATTAGAATAAATCACGTGCGATATTAGTGTCAGGTGCGAGATTAAACGTGGCTATGGGTTATAATTCACCTTGCCTCCATCCATGAGCTGTAGGTACGTACACATTTATGTATGTGCCACCACTATGTACACACAACGGTCGTGCTCCCACAATGGGTCATTCCGTATTATCATTGTGTTGTGCGTGTATGTACGACGGCGTCAGGCAATTGTTATTACCGTTGATTTCAAAAGGCAATCCTACAGGACGTCGTGCCGACCACAGTTCTATTCAATAGTTGCCACTTAAAGATACTATTAGCTTGGCCTTAATAGAAACGGTTTGTCAAATTGCGATATTATCGCAGCAAAACATTCTGAACAACGACTTGCCATGGTGGTAACGATTAAAGCGGAATACAGTGGAAAAGAGTTGGTGTTCGTATAGAACATGCTTCGCAATATACCTATTATTACACATATTATAGTGGTTATGAAGGAGTTTAAACTGCTTTATAAATATACTACCTTCATAGCAGTGATATGACATATATATGACATTAAGATCTTTTATTTAAAATCAATGGGCATAGGCCTAATGCAGAAAACAAATAGGTTATTGGTCAGAAAATTACCAGATTTGGTTCGCACCATGCATATAGTTTCAATATATCATCGATCAAGCAGGCTAAAAAAGAAGTGTATATGTAATAACAAGTTGTTAGCAATATACCGCCACCTATTAATCGCGATCCACACTTTGTACTTTCGATAAATTTCTGACCGAAAAGATATTCTCTACTAATTTGGTTTACGTACCTGTCCTACGTTATAGATTTGTATTTAAATGCATTTCTTTTTATTTTATCAAAAGTGTTTGAAATACTACAGTTAGCAGTTGAGAGTCTCAAAAAACTTTAACCAAACACTGTCACGAGGTAAATTGTTGTTTTAGGTTTTTTGTTAATTATTTATTTTGATTATCTGATTATAATGCGTTTTTATTATTTTTCCGTGACTGGTCCCAAGGTATTAAAATGACAAGAAAGGCGAGATCGGAAAACAATAACAACTTTATTATATAGTAAAGTAAAATAGGCTTTATTTTGCCTAAAACTGTTGCTTCCTGGTATATATTATAAAAAAGGATTCGTTACACCACGGAGTGCCACCACCAAAGGTGCTTACTTGGTGTACAGGTCATCTGTCAAAATACTCAGCGAAGAAGTTCCTCTCCAATAGTTTTTGAATCTATGATAGGATTAGTACTATAGTACTAGTACCTATTGGNCAGCCACTAATGCTGGTGGGCGGGCAGTCCCTCCTGACTATGCCGGAAGGTAGGGTGGAAGGCCCTCTTCAGTCTCCTTTTAGGAATCGTGGGAATGGGTGGGTGGTGGTTCGGGTGACAAAGATGAGACGGACGAAATGAAGACAGAAGAGAATGAAAGATTATCTGTGGAATATTTAATGTTCTAGCATTTGCCTAAGTCCAAGTAGTATCCAAGGAAACTATAGAAAAACCTGGACCAAGGCAGACGGCCCTGGAATAGAACCGGCGTCCTCCTGAATACTAAGCAATGGTCTAAACCTCTAGGCCATACCGCTTGGTCAGCAACCGTTGTGTCAGGAACTATTTATACTTCAGATTTTAGGCTTGCGAGTTTTACTTTGTACCTGCGTTTCGTGGGCTATACAATTCATTTGTTCAAGACAGACAAAAAAGTCTTAATACTTTTGCGTCTTTCATTTCCGTGGGTGGGTGGCTTTTTCGACTAACAGTTTAGTGCAAGGTAGGAGAAAAGGTCTTCTTCAGCTTTCTTGTAGGAGTCGTGGGAATAGATGGGTGGTAGTTAGGAAAAGAAAGAAGAGACTGACGAAATGAAGACAGAAGAGAAATGAAACATTATCTGTTAGAGTTAGCCATTTATGCCTGGGTGACCAATCGAACGCTAATAGGCAGTGGTCTAATTATTAGTTCAAGTTCTGGAATCTGAAGTACCATGCGTTACGATTCTTGAGTGAAAAGTGTAATTTCCTTTTACTGTGCTAGTGTTGCAACATTAAAGCATTTTAATTGTTTTTTGATAGCATCACAAGGTTTCCAGTCTCAAAACTGGTTGGAAAGGTTGGCTTATGATAGGAGTCTTTGGACTGGAAACCTTATGATGACAAATTCATATTCTGGATCTTAGTCGTATCGACTGATTAAAAAGTATCGTTTGCAGGTAATATGCTTATAAATAATTTGGAAATATTTTTTCCAGGAGACACCAGAGTGAACCAAATGATCGCGTTAGTTGCAGTTCATCTTCTTTTCCATAGGGAACACAATCGCGTCGCTGAAGAACTTGCATACTTAAATTCGGATTGGGATGATGAAAAGTTATTCCTAGAAGCACGACGTATAGTAATTGCCGAATTTCAGGTTATAACCTACAAGGAGTTTTTACCAGCTGTTATTGGTAAATATAATTTATTTCTTTCGAAAATAGTTAATGTTACCTATATTCTTGTCAAAATTTAGACATTATACATTTTTATAGAGTTAATATTATGCCTAATTAACAAATTCATTTCAAGGACATGAAAGTATGGAGGAATTTGGCTTATATTTGCAAGAAGGATTATCTTATTCTTATGATTACGATCACAAGGTAGACGTTTCGATATCGAATGAATTTGCTTCTGCAGCTTTCAGATATGGGCATTCAATAGTTGAAGGATACTTAAAGTAAGTAAATTTCGTATTTACTACAGATAAAAAGATATATAGCTTTTTATTGCATTGTAATTATGTTTGTTATGAGAAAGTTGGAGTTCTTGTCACAATTTATTATCATCATCATCATCCTTATAATTTCATCAAATTGAATGGCTGGATACGGTGCTCATTCCTATCTTATGCTAATTTTCCTGTTTCCCAAAAGCTAAAAAATCCCCATATATATCTAACTATTTGCGAACAGTAATATAATCTATTTCTACCTCTCCTCCGCTCTTAACTGCTGTTTGTTCTTCTATTAGGTCTCTAACGAGCCCTTCATGTCATTCCGGAGGACGCCGGTTCGATTCCGGGTCCGTCTGCCTTGGTCCAAATTTTTCTGTGGTTTTCTTGGATCACTTAGGGAAATGCTGGGGCAGTAATATGCCACAGGAAATCTTTCATGCTCTTTTGTCTTCATTTCGTCAGTCTCATCTTTCTCACCCGAACCATCACTTACTCATTATCACGATTCCTGAAAGGAGGCTTAAGAGGGCCTTCCGCCCTATCTTCCAGCGTAGTCCGGAGGGGCTGCCTACCCACCAACATTAGTGACTAGTGGGAATGAAGCATCCAAAAGTTTTTTGTAGTGAAACTTCTTTGGGCTCGATGAGAGTAAAATCTCAAGGCCATGAAACGACACGTTTTGCACGTTTCGTTTCGCGAAGCGATAGGCTATGTCAATAGAAAAACGCGCATGCGCATTTCGATATTACAGTCAGCTGTTGGTGATCGGCATCTCATATATTATAGTATAATGTATCTTCACTACACTATAGTGCTAAATTAATTTTTTGGTTACATCTGTGCAGTTATATTACAGTAAATGTTTATTTAACAACAATTAATATTTATTTAAAAGTGAATATTATTATGTATTAATTCTAATTCCTTATAGTTATTGATATTTTATGGTTTCTTAAGCACTTGAAAAAATAAACGGAAGCGAAAAGAATTGACCATTTTTTTGGTATTGAATTAAATTAAAGTAATACTCCTGAAGTGGACTAAAGATAAAATACGATATGTTGGAAAACATAAATCCTGAAAATTCTCGTACTCTCTCTTTCTCACCAATCATTACTTATTCGTTATAAAGGTATAGAGATGGTGTACTGAGTTGCACCTGTTCTTTTTATTAACTGTAATGCCAAAGGAAATTTTTATAAGGGTGCAATTTACGTCTGTTCGGTATTTCATGAAAGAGTATTGTCGATCAAAGACAGTAAACTCCTCTTTTAATTGTTCATATATTCTATTCGTTCCACGAAACGGTAACGAAAATATTGGTCCAAACACATATACGTTAATGGTACAATGCATATGTGTATTCACATGTTTACGAATGCAATCAGCGGCAGATACACTATTTCATAAGAATATATTGCGACAAATATGCCAGAGGCTCTGCAAATGCACTGATATTTACGTGATTCCAACTGTACCTTAGTATATGTATACAAGCAACGGCCTAAAACAAGAACAAATGCAGCGGGTTTTCAATAGTCCTATATGTACGTCACAGCCATCCAGGTCAGTAGAATCGTAAATAAGAAATGCGAAACATCGCCTGCCTTAGAATTTTCACCAGCTATTGAAGGTTTCTTAAATATTCAGGCATCTAGGCACCGAGTTAAATAGGCAACTGATGTGTAAGTATATCTCTTACTTATTGTTCACATGAAAAGTCCCATAACAGTATGCTACAATCCCTTATTGATTTATTTGTAAAAAAATCTCATTATTCCCCAAGACTGCGCACTGCGTACTCATAAGATATACTTCATTAATTTCTCTAATGATGTGCCCCTTCCAATGTCTTGGATGCGCACTGGCAAAATCGTAGGTATGGAAAAAAAACCTCACTATACTCTCGACTTAAAAATTAAATATACTTTTTCATACAGTAGCTGCCAAAAGTTTTGTTCAATCATGAATAGTAGTGCGAGTCGAAAACAAGCGTTAAAGCCTTTAATATGTCTTCAAATATAAATAAACACCTCGTTGATATTTTCAGTAGTAATTGGTACCAATAACAGCACATTCGAGCAATGCAATTGTAGTGGATAAAATGGTCAATTTTTCCGTGCAGTACTGTACGGATTNTATGATCAGTTGCTACAGATGACTAACAAATACGACAGAAAAAGTCTTAACAGGGAGAAATAGTTACAAGAACACTTGCAAGATGCAATGATTGCAATTAAAACTTAAATTTGTTCCATCAGACAGGTATCAAAAGAGTACAGGATTTCACGAAAAGCGTTAGAAAGACGATTCAAACAAAAGCAACACCATTAATGGTAGAATGGGGCCAGATTCATTCTTTGGAGATGAACGTGAAGAAATAATTTTATAGTTAATTAAGAAGATGCAAGGACGCGGTTTTTCTCTCGGTCGTGATGATATTCGTCACAAAATCAACTTAAAATCAAACATAAGTTCAACAATGACACCGAACAAACGGGATATGTTTAGTTGCAACTATTTTTGTCAAGGCATCCAGACATTTCAGAAATTTATAATTACTTTTATTTATTAAAATTGATCCTCGAGGAAAATAACCTTTTTGGGTCTCCTGGAAGTATTTTTAATATAGACGAACCCGGATTGCAGCCTTATACTCGTCCAGATAATGTTCTTGCTGAAAAGAGATCTTAAGGTGTATGTAGTACTTCATCGTCGAAAATGGAAACAATTTCTGTTTCAGCATGTTGTAATTCCGAATGAATCTTTCTTCCGTCCTCGTATATAATCAAAGGGAAAAATCAAAAACGAGTGGAAAGATGATGTGCTTCTAGGCGCCATATTATTCATGAATCAGGAATCTGCCTGTTTTAATTCGGAGAAATGCAAAAAAAGATGAAAATGTAGAGAATAAATACGGACAGGATGTGGACATTGATTAAGATAAAAAAACATAAATTTGAGCGAAGATGTAAACCAAAAAGCTGTACCTATTAATGATGATCAGATCATTCAAGCAAGTTCTTCTAAAACCCTTTCAGCGCTAGGACAAGTGTAGAGAAGTAGTGCTGACCTAGAATAACCTAAAAAAAGTTGTGAAAGTTGGGGGTGACGGGGTGAAGGCGCAGACATGGATGTTCTTTTTTAAATTTAGTATAAGAGTAAATTGATAACCTTATGTAAAGCACATGAAAAGTGGGTAGGTTTGGACTGGTAGGCTTATCAGCACCTGCCAGTGTATAACTTATCCACACATCAAATCAACACAGCTGAGACATGATGAAATGAAAAAACACACTCCCCACTAATTACAAAGTATCAAAGCCCAGCTGGCTTTTCTGACCAATAGGAACGAAAAAACTTTGGGATACTTTGTAATTAGTATCGAGGAACGCTTGGGTAAAAAATACACTTTAACTCTCCCCACTGTCAGACAAATTGACTTCTAGAAGCAAGTGATGTGGTGCCTAAAGATTATCGAGGAAAGTAACCCTCAGGTTCGGGCTTATCCAAACCCTTAGGCGTTCAATATAGGGACATACACTGCACAACCCCTTAACTCAGCATGTGGGCTATACCCAGTTGCCACATCAAGTCTGACACCAATTGACAGGGCAGGGATCGAAGCTGGACTCCTGGGTTCTCTCTGCCACCCAAGCACCAGTATAGGAATTCCGGTTGCCATTCCGCTGGACGATATCCGTTTTGCCGTATACGCCTAAAGGGTCAGACTACACCCCCGATATGGCTGCTTTGTGCTATATGCTTCACATTGTAACCCTCCTAGTGGGTCGTTACCCTCTATTCTGTGCCTCCAACTGATGCACACCACTGCTAAGTGCTTACTTCGCTTTTGGATATGGGTAGGGAGAGCGGCCACCCAGAGGTCTGTTGACCTTTCGGTGCCTGTCGAGGTTACAATGCGATGAGATGACTGCACAGGGAAAGCCTCCCTTTCGACGGACAAGCTATATTGTGGATGCCTCCCCCCGTCAGCTTACCGTGCCTGTGCTACGCTTAAATCGCGTTGGAATGCCAGCTGTCGCGTACTTTCCTCTCGGAGTTTGCGCAGCTCGCTACGGCACACCAGACGGGTACTTCCGGAACTTCACCCGTATCCGTAGGCTACTTCCTACATTCATTTTGTTTGCAGATGCCCAAGGCCTCTTTAACATGGCTATAACGTGCGTGTGGGTACTGAGCCCCCTTCCCTCCACGACAAGATGGCAAACCTGAAGCTTTTGGACCTCTTCTACCCCCTCCACCCTTCCACTCCTCTTCGAGTAACAATTATCAATCAATATGTTTCAATAAAACTACTTATTTATTCGTTTGTTTGCATAATTTCTGTAAAGACGTTATGATAGAATTAATTTACTTTCGCAGACGAATGTTGCGATGTTGTATCTACCGATGTACATATGCATTTAGTGTGGTGTGGCTCAAAGTTATTAGAATAAATCACGTGCGATATTAGTGTCAGGTGCGAGATTAAACGTGGCTATGGGTTATAATTCACCTTGCCTCCATCCATGAGCTGTAGGTACGTACACATTTATGTATGTGCCACCACTATGTACACACAACGGTCGTGCTCCCACAATGGGTCATTCCGTATTATCATTGTGTTGTGCGTGTATGTACGACGGCGTCAGGCAATTGTTATTACCGTTGATTTCAAAAGGCAATCCTACAGGACGTCGTGCCGACCACAGTTCTATTCAATAGTTGCCACTTAAAGATACTATTAGCTTGGCCTTAATAGAAACGGTTTGTCAAATTGCGATATTATCGCAGCAAAACATTCTGAACAACGACTTGCCATGGTGGTAACGATTAAAGCGGAATACAGTGGAAAAGAGTTGGTGTTCGTATAGAACATGCTTCGCAATATACCTATTATTACACATATTATAGTGGTTATGAAGGAGTTTAAACTGCTTTATAAATATACTACCTTCATAGCAGTGATATGACATATATATGACATTAAGATCTTTTATTTAAAATCAATGGGCATAGGCCTAATGCAGAAAACAAATAGGTTATTGGTCAGAAAATTACCAGATTTGGTTCGCACCATGCATATAGTTTCAATATATCATCGATCAAGCAGGCTAAAAAAGAAGTGTATATGTAATAACAAGTTGTTAGCAATATACCGCCACCTATTAATCGCGATCCACACTTTGTACTTTCGATAAATTTCTGACCGAAAAGATATTCTCTACTAATTTGGTTTACGTACCTGTCCTACGTTATAGATTTGTATTTAAATGCATTTCTTTTTATTTTATCAAAAGTGTTTGAAATACTACAGTTAGCAGTTGAGAGTCTCAAAAAACTTTAACCAAACACTGTCACGAGGTAAATTGTTGTTTTAGGTTTTTTGTTAATTATTTATTTTGATTATCTGATTATAATGCGTTTTTATTATTTTTCCGTGACTGGTCCCAAGGTATTAAAATGACAAGAAAGGCGAGATCGGAAAACAATAACAACTTTATTATATAGTAAAGTAAAATAGGCTTTATTTTGCCTAAAACTGTTGCTTCCTGGTATATATTATAAAAAAGGATTCGTTACACCACGGAGTGCCACCACCAAAGGTGCTTACTTGGTGTACAGGTCATCTGTCAAAATACTCAGCGAAGAAGTTCCTCTCCAATAGTTTTTGAATCTATGATAGGATTAGTACTATAGTACTAGTACCTATTGGGCATATAACCGTGCTTGTGTTTTTCACAGATAAGAGCTGTAAGCTTGAATTTTAAAAAGAACTAAGTAAAGTACACTCTTATAGACATATTATACTTGAAATGCATGTAAATCCAAAACCGCAAGTTTAAGTGTTATATCTATCAAGACATGTAAATCTGTGGAGGACGTGTAATAATTTACCTTTCGTTTTACTACCAATTTATTAAACAAAACTGTTTCCTTTTGATCTCCAAGCAACTATATTTATAGGGGCTGGACTTGCTCTAGAAGGATTCTAGAATGTAAGATCTAGAAACTTTTGCACGTATGGCGGGTCCTCTACACGTAACAAAACATTCGCAATATACAAACTAAGTTGTGTTAAATTACAATTCTTGCTGGTGTAGCTAATATCGTATTTTCTTATAATAGTAAATGAGTTCAATGTGTGATTGCCATTACTTTTTGGATTAATTCATACTGACTTTGCCATTGAAGTAAACGTAATCGCTTATTAATTTTATAGTAGGTATTTACTCATTGCTGTACTAAAGAGATTCTTTAATAAAATTGCAGTAAAGAAAGAACTATCGCACTGCTATTTTGAGAAATATGAATTTATCTTATTGGTCATTATAAAAAGCAATGATTTTATGTTTATTTAGCCTCATTACGATACCAGGGATAGTACGGTTTATACGATCTATTTAACGCTCTGGTGGACTAACTGCAGTTATATATGCACTTGTGTATATGTATGTGTAGCTATACAACAAGTGCATTTTTTAGTGTAGGGTACATGAACCTGCGAGTTACACTCACATACAAACACGCACATATGCAATGTGGCGGCGGTCTAATTAAAAGCGGGGATATAGATTTTATGTCAAAATCGGTCGTAATTACTCGAAATGAACAAGTTTGTGCACAAATTAGTGCAGCGCATCGCGAACCACCTGTACCCTGACTATATTTCAACTTTGACTTCGGTAAATTCCACTCCATCCATAATGTAAAAGAACATACGTAGAGGTATTTTAAATTGTCCTAGACATCGTGTTCATATTCGTTACATTCAAAACATTGACTCGACTGTTAACCATGTAAACGAAAAGAAACAGACGGTCAAAGATGTAGAACAGAAGGAGTTTTGTGAACGCACAACCCAGGGTCATGACCCACGAGATTCTGAACTACCTCTATTTTAGTATTTCTGATCCTACTTGAAAGCGTAATTGAGCAATATGCGAATCTAAAAGATATATTCACCATCATAAGGTTGTCAGTCCTAAGACTGGCTGGACACGCACTTTCACTATTTACTATCCTGATCTTAATCTTCGCACTTCCTTGAAACTAGAACAACCCACATCCTTAGCTATTTGCGAACAGTAATCTAATCTAGGTCTACCACTATTCCTCTTAACTCCAGTTTCTGCCCCTAATATGTCTCTGACTAGACCTTCATGCTTATTGACTTCCGTAGAATGCTCTGTTCTCCTTTTCTTTCTAATACCTCCTCATTTCTAACCTTCTCTATCTACGGTATCCTCATTATTCGCCTGTAGCACCACATTTCGAACGCTTCTATCCTTTTCTATTCCTTCGCGCCCACCGTTCATGTTTAAAACTTCTATTGTAAACATTTAAAAATACAATAAAGCCTGCAACAGATTGATCCCATATTTTACAAAATGGTCAAAGTTGAAAATGTTAAATCGTGATCATAATCACAGACCTGACAAATGATGGTTAAAAACGTAAAAGATCCAAAATAGAAACGCCTTCCCGTTACTAATTCTAAATGTAAAAGTTTTCTATCACGATGCAAATTACCTACTTTCTGAATAGTTTAAAAAAATGCTTTTTCTACTTTATTGTTTTTTAATAATAAAACTATTTAATTATTTACTGTAGAACTTTACAGAATTTGAAAACACCCAACAACTGTCACTATTTGTCAATATTAATCTAACCTACGTCAACTTCTACCCGTCTTAATTGTTGCTTCTGCTTCTAATATGATGTTGCCTATAAACTACCCTTCGTGTTTAATCGTAAGATGTTCTATTACTAGACCAACCTTAACAGGCTCAGAATCTTCACTTTTAAACAAGGAAAGGTGCAACACTAGTTAGAAAATTTAACGATTTCGTTAAATGAGACACTTTGATTTTTTGTTAAACCTACAATTAAGTTAATGAATTTAACACTATAAATAACCTCAAATTAGTGAGGAAAAATTGTTGCTGACACAAGATATAAATATAATGGACACGGTTTATCGCTGATTTCATTACTTTTATTACCTACTATGCAAGTACCTAATTGTTACGTTTTAAATTATTGGGTTTGTATGTACTCATTCTTCAACGTCATCATATTAGCATTATTATGATCTAATTGATAGTTCTTTTCTTATATTAGTATGTTAATTAGTCTGTGCAGAGCAAGTCATTTATTTTAAAACAATGAAATATCTTGATTGCATCTCAGTATTTTGAAAAAAGAAATTAAATAAATATTTTTCTTTCTCTTTTCGAAAAGATGATCATATGGTGACCTTGGCCTCCGAATTTATTTGTTTTCAACGGGAATGCATCCCCAGCAAGGAAAGAGCGGAAATACCCGCGAAGTTGATTTGCTTTAACGACTAATTTGTCAATCTGTACTTTTGAATAATTAAATATCCGAAGTTTCTTCATTGAACTTCATTATCTTGGGAGCAGTTTCAGACAAAAATTATGTTTTTGAAGGAATAATCAGTTCACCACCTTTGCGTGTGATCACGATTTTTACCTTCCAGATGATTTGCAGGAATTCATTTTGATAATTGAAATAATTTTGACTCTAGAAATGGAAAAAGACGGGAAATTCTGAAATATAGAAAATTTGCATATGAATTATAACCTGTCTTTTAGGTAACTTCAATTATTTTCAACTTATTAACATGAAAATTCAATTTTAATTTTTTACCCACTATAAACTACCTCAGGAAAAATTTGTTGCTGTTGTCATACCC